TACGCGCGCGCGCCGCGCGCATGTAACGCGCGCGCCTTATTTCGCGCGTAACGCGCGCGCGCGTAACGCGTTATAACGCGCGCGCGTAACGCGCGCGCGCGCGTAACCCGCGCGCGTAACGCGCGCGCGCGCGTTACAGTTTTTACACTTTAAAAAGATGAAAAAGTATAGCTTAATAATATATTGTATCGACGTTCAGGCATGCGTCCTCGAGCACGCGGTATAGCTCTAATGAGATCCGCGGTGGACGATTTTTCTACCTGGTTAGCGTCTTCCGCGAACCTTGCGCGTGGCAATGAAACATCCGGATCTACTGAGGAACACGCGACGAATTTGGGTATATTACAGTGTCTCTTCGCATGCCAAAACGAAGACTTTGGGATCGGAGAAGAGCATTTCCTAGGAGAAGAGGATGAAGATTAAGGCATCAAGGATTACTTTTTATACTAAAAAGAGCACTTCCTAGGAGAAGAGGATGAAGATTAAGGCATCAAGGATTATACTTTTTTTTTGGATGTGGTAGGTTTTGGACGACTACGTCTACGACATTTGGATTTGATATCTACTTTTTATACTTTGGTTTTGGACGACATTAACATTTGATCTAATTATAATAGATATCAATCATCTTCATCGCCCATTCTTACAACCGCAGGAAATGCATCATCCCGCCGATGGCCCAGTGTGGTCGTTTGGGATGCAGTATGATGATGATTGATTTCTTTGGAGATGGAGATGCAAATGGTTCATGTGTAGTTCTAATTCGAAGAGTGAAGTATGAACAAGAGTCACCACGCCTTTGAGAAATATTAAGTAAATGGAAAAAGAAGTTGAAGTCGTGTTGCAAGAAATGTAATCCAAGAAATGCAAATCGTCCATCAACAGGCTTTAAGAGGATACTGCCAATGGAGACGTCTTAGGCGGGATCGAGACTTACCTTGCAAAGCGCGGCTGCGAAGCGTTCTCTGCAATGAAGAGGATCTCTACTAACTCCACAGATTCTTTCACACTTTCTCCTTTACTGGCTGAAGAAATACATTTCAATGGCGGTAGGAGCACCAGGATTATGATGAGTCACTTCTTTACAAGCACTTCATCTTCAACTTCTTCTTCGCAGAACAATACGACCAATAAGAGGGCCACCTTTATTTCTGCGCCGGTAGTTGGTGATACAACTTCGGTAACACTTCCTTTCCTCTTCTGCGGTTGGCGAGGTGCGTGGGAGGATTTTGAGAAACATATTTGTCTCGCTGTCCCTACTGGTACATTTTCGTCAGCCCCTGGGATCATGCTAGCGCAACATCGGACTTCGTCGTCATCAGTAGCTCTGCGTGACAGCACCACATCTAGCGTCTTTTCAACTTAAGGCTTCTCCTCACTTATATACTTTCTTATGTGTATAATCTATAGGGACGACGATCTCTCTCTTGCGATCATTTCCCTACAGGGATGCAGCATTGGGGGAGTGGTCTCTAATCAACTGTCGCAGGAGAAACGACCAGTCGTGCGAGTATCTATCACGCCGACGAGCGAAGACATTACAGCTCTGAGGAGGTGTTGGTATCTCGACGTGCGCTTTTGGATAGAATAGAGATGGTAGAGAATTTTGCCCAAGAGTTAGAGGATCGGGCGAGTGTCTTCGGCGTCGAAGTCGGCAGCGATCAGGGTCCGAAAAGTGTCTTTTCAACTGCCAAGAAGGAAGACGGGCCAACTACAGGGACGAGAACGCCAGGAGCTGCTGCTGCAGACGTCGGCGAAGAGTTGACCCGCATACGCCGCTCTTGTCGCAGCACGATGGACCTGCTGTCTGCGCGGGAGAAGGAGATAGAGCAATCTGCATTAGAAGCTGAGATGAGGAAGGCAGAACTCGATATCGAGATAGCTGAGGTTCGTCGGATGAAGGAAGACCTAGAAAAAAAAGCGGCTGATCTTGAGAGGAGGGAGATGATCATGTTGAGATCGAGTGCAGAGCACCAAGAAGAAAGGGATGATCTTCTTGTCGTCGAAGTAGATGAAATGGGAGGAAGTACAAGAAAGAACCAAAGAGGAGGACAAGTAGCAGCACAGCAGAGGATAAGCCGGGAAGTAGACATGGTAGAGGACAGTGATTATGAATCTCTGTTGGTAGTACCGCAAGCGCAAACCAAGATCCCCGCTTCCCTTGTAGCAGAAGCCTCAGCAGCACTATCCAAATCTAGCACCGCCAGTTCTAGGAGACGAGAAGAGGCAAATAAGGCACTACAAGTACAACAGGCCTCATATTTGAAAATTACTACGACTCCAACATTGAGTAAAAGAACTCCTTCAACATCTTCCAAACAAACGGGAAGCACCAAAAAGGCTCCGAACAATCCCTTCAGGAGAAGGAGTAGTGAGGATGCGCCAGCGGCTAAGGCCGCTGAAAAGCCTGACCGCATTAAGAACGTCGACAAAGACCGCATTAAGAATGACAACGACTACGAAGTAGATGCAGTTGCAGACGGTTACAACGATGAAAAAAGTGTTAATATCGACGACGTGGATGAATTTGGAGGAGCAGTATTGGAGCACAAGCACAACGAAGAAGATGGCGTTGACCAAGAGGATTCCGCTAGCCATCTTGCTGGAGAAGATGAACAACAAGGGCCTCCTCAGTATCAGCAAGTCATTACAATAGAAGAAGACCAAGAAGAACTGCAAATAAGTCCGAAACCAAATACAACTACGCTAGGACTAGGACGCGGTGGTGGACTCACCAGCAACAAAATGAAGCAACGACATCAACAAGGCGAACGCGAAGGCGAAGGGTCTTTTAAGTGTAGGCTAAAGGTGTTCCTGTTGCCGTTTGTTTTGCCTCTCCCAAGGGAGAAAGGCAGAAGGTCACGGGAAACAGAAACGCTAAGGCTCTACCTCTAAGAAGTCTTTACAGATTCATTGGGGTGTGCGAGTACTCGATGAAAAACTGCTCTCTTCGAACGGTGCAGCGTCCTCATCCGCTTCGTTTTCCTCGAGTAGAGACACTAGCAATAGCAAAGGTCGTTATGGAGGTGGTGGCGGTGGTGACCAGGGTGTTATGGGTGCTGGTGCTAAAAGTGGTGTCGGTAGCACGGGTGTCTCTCTAGGTCTCGGAGGTCATGGTGGAGGACCACGTTCTAATGCTTCTGGTGTTCCCAAAGGACCGACAAGCACTGTGGTTTTGCAACAGCCTCCACCATTCAACATCAACATTGGCCAGCCTCTTTCTTTCGTACCACAAGCACGCATTCCCACGCCCGATAAGAAAACGAATCCGCACACAACTTCTGCTGGCTCCAGAAGTAATGCATCAACTGCAGTTTCTGGACGAAATGGAACAGGTGCATCTTATTTGGGTCTTTCCCCACCTACCAGAATTACAGACTCTCTACGCGAAATGATCTCCCAATCGTCTGCTCAGCAAGCGGCGTACTACCGACAGCACCCGACAAGCAGCGTACAATCAGGAGAGCGCTACCTTCCTGAAGCCAAGTTAGAGCATGTCCTCAAAGTGCCAGCTAGCCTTGAACCCCCGAAGTTCATAGGACATGACTGGATAGATCCTCAGTCGCAAAAGCCTCGCTCCCTATCTCCTTTCGCAACATCCGTGGCAGCTGAGAGGAAAAAGAGCATGCTAGGACATATCGAAGCAGAAAGACAAAGTATGGAAACAAGGATGAAGAGAATTATTTCAACAAGTAGTTGTAGTCCTCCTCCCCCCGGTGGTAGGGACGAAAGGGGTACAGGAGGTACGAGCCGCGACAGGAGTCGTGCTGACACCTCCAACCAGAAAGCAACAGAGGAAAAGCAACAGGAAAGCGCTGATGCTCCTCAAAAATCCGATGACAAAGTACTACATGGAGCACCCAGAGAACAAGATGGTTTATCAAGAACAACTCCAGCCACCCAGCCCTCTTCAAAGCTTCTGAAAGCAGAGCTTCCGCAGTGGAAGCCTATCCACCTAGTCGGCCCCGCAGGCAAGGTGTCCGGAAATAACAAGGGCCTGCTTTTTCCTACCAACAGCCAGAAAAAGATGCCAACTTTGGAGCAAAAACTGAGGCCAGATGGGCTGAGTCGGGAAATCCAGAGAGCACTGAATTCTCCAGCAACGACTGAAATGAGGCATAATCAACGTTTTTTGCATCTTCCACAACAGCGAGTTATTACTGGTACTACTGCTAGTGCGTCCACGTCGAGTTGTAGTAAGAAAGGAACTACTTCTACTACGAATAGAACATCTTCAAGCACTCGACGAGCAGATGCGAGAGCTACCACGGCAATAAATCCCACGAAGGGCGTCAATGTTAGTAGTCGATCTGTTGAAACACCAGACCAACACCAAGATCCGAAACACCAGGTGAAGAATTTCATGCAGGCTCCCGCCGTCGCTAGTTCTACGCCTCCTTCGTCTGACACTTCTTCACCTGTAAAACGAATTCAAGCACAAGCTCTGCCACCTCCATCAAGCGAACAGCCACAGCCTCAAGATCTTCGTACACCCTCACATCGTTCCACCACCAGTAGCAACATCGTCATGCACAACAGCATGCACTCCCGTGAATCGACCAAAGCTGCTCTGGCCGCTGTAGAAGAGGAGAACGACGCATTGGAGGAGAGCAGACGAGAAGAGGTGGCTCTTGCACTGGAGGCACTGCAGCAAAAAGTTGCCAGGAGGTCGACACGAGGATAAGCGTTGGCCACACACTTTTTGTGGTATGTGTGCTCTGTGCTATGTTCCATTTTATAAGTAGATTTTTTTTACAAACAGTCACTCATGCTTCATTTTGTTTTGTTTCATCAATTTCATTGACTTGGTGATAACTACCACGTACCACATGGTCGAAAAAAATTCCAGGTAATGTATCTGTCGTCAAGGCATAAACTATAACTATTTTTTGAAAATGATTCCTTTTCCTTAATTGTAGAAATTTTGATGGATAGCAGCACGACTAGCGAGTCCTGAAAAAGTACATGTTTATGATTCAGCTTCTGTTCGCCAAAAACCCGTAGAAAGATTAAGACTGTTCTGTAACCACTAGGTAGTAAGTTTTTGTTTTCTCTAAAGTCTCGTTTGATGAAGAATTAGACCAAGATCAGTGTTCTTGGATGATCATGAAGATGTTGAAAATGGATTTCGATATGTTATGACAGCTGATGCTTAATGTAGTTGAAGTTTTTCTTGTACGAGGATATTAATACTTTCACGTCGTACCACCTTGGAGCAGGATAAGTGTATTAAGGTAAAGGTGACCACCTGCTCTCAGATAATTTAGTTCAGCATGAACTCGGGAGGACCGTGTTAGTGTTTTCTTCCGAAAAAAGAAGGACCACCAGTGGTCAATTAGAGCGGACAATCATCTTCTAGAAGAAAAGGAAATTTGCGGTGTAAATAAATCAATACTCAGATGAATTATCACGACCATGATGAGCAGTCGTTTGCTTCGTCGCGTCAGAATACGAACTCCTCCTGCCTTGATACGAAACATCACCACTGCTTCTGCATCGACGTGCAGCAGAAGCCTTGCGGTTCCGACAACCTCGTCTGACAAGGACAACCTTCTACTGGGTAAGTGGTCGTCTTCATCTACTTCCGGAAGGCTTTTTGGCCTTGTTGATATGAAGGGCCGATCCTTCAGCACAGAGACAGACGGAAGATCTTCTTCTACTTCCCGAGGGGGCAGGAGGCCACTGGATGCTCGCATTCGCATTCGCCGCTCTGTCCATTTCGTACCTGGTGACTCTGAGAAATTCCTAGCCAAGTGTCTCACTCTTGGCGCTGACACCTTGATCTTGGATTTGGAGGACTCCGTGATAGACAAAGCGAAAGGAAGGAGTGCTGTTGCTCGCTTCCTGAGTGGATTAAGGCTCAGCTTTCAATGGTCACCATTTAGATTGGAGTCACTGAGATCGAAGAAGCGACTTCCCCTTGAGAGGAGAACAGGGGAAAAGGAAGGGAAAGGAGAGAGCTTTGAAGGGGGTCTCTTCCGTTCAGCATCATGATGACCATTGAGTGCTGAGCTTTAAGTGGAGGAAGGAGCGCGACTTCCTCAAATGTTGGAGGTACTCCGGAAATTTTCGTCCGTATTAATCCATTGGATGGGCCGCATTGTTATGGCCGCATTGTTACGAGGAGAGACTGCTTTCGACAAAGCTTAGACATCCGCCAGATGATGCAGGAGAGCGAAAGACTCAGGTTTGTGTGGAGTGGTGGTCGGGGCCCCTACAAGAAGGGTTTAGTAGTACCTACTGGACCTCGTTCTTGATGAAGTTGATGAGCATGAAAAGTTGAGTAGTAGAATCTGACTCGGTTTTGACTTTCATCATAATGCTCGTCTAAGTACTCTATCTCTAACGGTAGCAAGACGACGTAGCAACAGCTGTGAAAGGTGGCGCCGATGGACTCATGGTGCCCAAGGTTGGGTGTGCGGCAGATGTAAAGAAGCTGGAACAATTCCTAGCACAAGAGGAAACCGATCACAGTCTCAGCTACAAGCTTCTTCTGTTACCAATAGCCACCGAAACTCCAGAGGCTGTATTGAATTTGAAAGAGATCGCGACAGCGTCCCCAGAGCGAATTTGTGGAATCACTTGGGGTTGCGAGGATCTATCGGCCGTTTTAGGTTCGGCGGGTACTAGAGATCCAGAAACAAAGGCTTACCTTCCAGTCTTTCAGCAGGCACGCGCGTTGACTCTTTTGGCAGCGAAAGCGGCAGGCGTACAGGCTATATGACACGAAAAAGTGTACTCATACTCAAGAAAAGAGGCTTTTTCCTCCTTAGAAAGTGCCTACTTTCTTGAGGATGAGTACACTTTTTCGCTTCATAGGCTATTGACGGCGTTTACACCGACATCAGAGACGCAAAAGGCTTTGCAAAAGAAGCCACGGAAGCCGTTTACATGGGATTTGATGGGAAGTTGAGCCTTCACCCGACACAAATTGTGCAACTGGGCAAGCTCTTTTCCCCTACCCCTGAGCAAATGCGTGAAGCAGCGAATATTGTGCGAATATTCGATGATCAGGATAATAAGGCTAAGGCACAGGCGTCGCTATATCCTCATCAACGCATGATCTAGTTGTACCTGTATTTGTGCGTCCGCCTCTATCATTTATCTGAATCTACCTTCTAAGAGCCCAGGAGCAGCAGTCTACAAAGGTCAGATGATCGATTTGCCACATTACACGAGGGCAAAAAAGATTATCGCAAGGGGAGAAGCAGCCGGAATCGAAGCAGCAGCAGATGAGAAGGTAGGCAAGGCGGAAGAAGGTACTGAATTATTAGAACCCACTACAAGTACAACTGAATCAGCATCAGCAACGTGTTGGAGGTACTGGTCAGTACTACAATGCAAGTAAAACCCACCACCATGGCCGCCTTATAATATAGGCACGTACTCCTCAACCCTGAACCCAGTTTTTCCTCGCGTGCACCATGGCAAGTATCTGGAAGACTTGACACCTGGGCTACGAGTCCGCCATGCACTGATTAAGGCTGCTGTTTTTTCTCGTCTTCTTTGTCCACTTGATGAAAAGCGGCATGAGACGTCTCACGATCTTGATCATGGAGAAACAACTTCAAGAAGCAATCTTCATCGTTCTCCTTAAGGAAGCCACTTAAAGGAATCCCTTAAGGATTTCGCAAACCATCGCTAACCCTATAAATACTAATATTTTTTTATAGGCACACAACAAGAACAGCTTCATCTTCAACTGCTCACGTGTTTTACATCAGAGGACCTCTCTTCTAACCCCTCCCGAACGGTAACCGAAGCTGACAACGTCCTTTTCACTTGCTTGTCCTTGAACCCAGCGCCCATCCATTTGGATCACGAATTATGCAAGAATACGGAGTTCGGCAAACCTCTGTTCAACAGTATGTTTACATTGGCGCTTCTAGTCGGAATGTCCGTGCTCGAAACGACACATGGGACAACGATTGCGATTATGGCTTATAGAGTGCAGAACTGTGGTTGCAACCAATGGAAAACTCCCTTCTATTTAACCGCGAAGGTCGCTCTCCTCTGGAGGTACTTCCATACTGGATGGCCTCACAAGTAGGCATTAATTGCTACAAAAGAAGCGCCATGGATTATACATAGATGTTGCAAGTAATCGTGTGTAGCACTAGCACCAGCATCTGTCGTTTTCGCAACTTCAGTGCTTCTCAGGGAGGTGCAGTCCTCGCCCTCGTATCTTCCACATCCTCGCCACGACCCATTGTTGGTATAATTGGTTGTTGTAGTTGTATCTTGGATGATCTTATAAATATGGGGTAAATAATTGGCTGAAAGGGTGGCGGCATATAGTCCTAACGCTAATCGGAACCTCGGTTTTTCTGGAGTAAAGTTTCCCTATCCAGTGTATCCAGGAGACACCCTACGAGCGGAGACGCTAATCGTGGACGCTAGGGAGTCAGCATCACGACCGACACAGGGAATCTTAAGGCTTCACGACTTATATAATTCATCGTTTAGCTCAACATCTGTGGGCCCTGCTAGCTTTCAAGTAGAAGAAGAAGGGATACCGAATCCATCTTTTAGCTCATCTGTTCCCTGCTTTCAAGTAGAAGAAGGGATACCTCCGATGGGGGAAAGCAAGGACGTTGGATTGTAGTGGGTTCTAAGAATCGTTACCCTAGAACATAGCATGTTCAACCAAGAAGGAAAGCTAGTGTGCGTCTGCACGCGACAGGCGTTGATGAAGAAAAAGCCTGTGGCGAAGATGTGAAGAACGTCTAGCTCGCTGGTGGTGCTCGAGAGGGTAGGAAAATGAAGGTCGATTACGATGAGACTCGAGAAGAAGAAGAAGTATGACTAACGCCAACCACTCACCAACTATTGTTTGGGTTCCAGGAGTTCTTACGACTTACGCTGACTGCTTGTGACACTGCCTTCATGGACCCCCAGAACGGGCTGGGGTTTGCTACATCACTACCATCCGAATTCACCCACCATAGAAGATCTCTCAGAGAATATCCCTCGTTTTTTAGGAAAACAAGCCAAAGTTGCTCATCGTCCTTCTCCTTGTCCTCTTTGTAGTCGTCGTAAAAATGAAGATGATTGACCACCAGATACCTGTTGATAACCAACACCTTTGCCTACTTGTTCGAGAACTAATGCTTCTTCGTGGTTGCTATGGTCTTCTGCTGGTTCAAACTTCTCCTCTGCAGCATCTGGAAGATCCAGCGCAGCTTCTGTATTTTGATTTTATTCTTCTACCTTATTTAGTTCTGCACTTACATCATCCTCATCCACTGCATCGTTGTGGGTGTTCGTACTAGAAGGAGGCTTTGTCGTAAAGAAATCTAGGTACCTCCCGACATGCGGTGCGTGCCTGACCTTTACTCCAAAGAAGATTTCTCTTTCACCCGAGCGCCGAATATCATCCGAGAGCAAGGATTTTTCCGTGAGTAAACGCTTTAAAAAAATCTCCTGGTACTCGCCTGTACCTGTAGTCCCGCTTTGCTCTAACGCACGCCAGACTTCTCCAAAATGTCCACGCCCGATCCGCGTTCTTGAATGTTTCCAGTCATTGAGAATGGCACCATTTATGGATACTTGCTTCTAGAAGCACCAGTTGATGAAGACTATGATACCTGACCACTGCGGTGGGCGGCTCTACAGATCGATTTTGAGTAGCCCAGTGGCAGGGTTGGGGTATCTCCGTTTTTCGAATTTGGTGGGGTCTGCTGTGGCTGACCACTGCGGTGGGCGGCTCTACAGATCGATTTTAAGTAGCCCAATTGCATGGTGGGGGTATCCCCCTTTTTCGAATTTGGTGGGGTCTGCTGTGGCTGACCACTGCGGTGGGCGGCTCTACAGATCGACTTTGAGTAGCCCAATTCATTGCACGGTCGCGCTGTCCCCTTTTTTCGAATTTGGTGGGGTCTGCTGTGGCTGACCACCGCGGTGGGCGGCTCTACAGATCGATTTTGAGTAGCCCGATCGGAGGGTGAGACTATCCCCTTTTTTCGAATTTGGTGGGGTCTGCTGTGGCTGACCACTGCGGTGGGCGGATCTACAGATCGATTTTGAGTAGCCCGATTGCAGGGTGGGGCCATGCCCTTTTTTCCAATTTGGTGGGGTCTGCTGTGGCTGACCACTGCGGTGGGCGGCTCTACAGGTCGATTTTGAGTAGCCCAGTTGTTGGGTGAGACTACATCCCTTTTCGAATTTGGTGGGGTCTGCTGTGGCTGACCACCGCGGTGGGCGGCTCTAGAGATCGGTTTTGAGTAGCCCGATCGCAAGGTGAGGCTATCCCCTTTTTTCGAATTTGGTGGGGTCTGCTGTGGCTGACCACTGCGGTGGGCGGCTCTACAGATCGATTTTGAGTAGCCCGATTGCACGGTGGGCAGCTCTACAGATCGATTTTGAGTAGCCCGATTGCAGGGTGGGGCCATGCCCTTTTTTCCAATTTGGTGGGGTCTGCTGTGGCTGACCACTGCAGGGGGCGGCTCTACAGGTCGATTTTGAGTAGCCCAGTTGGATGGTGAGACCATACCCCCTTTTCGAATTTGGTGGGGTCTGCTGTGGCTGACCACTGCGGTGGGCGGCTCTACAGATCGATTTTGAGTAGGGCGGCTCTACAGATCGATTTTGGGCGCCCAATTGCACGGTAGCGCTATACCCTTTTTTCGAATTTGACGGGGTCTGCTGTGGCTGACCACTGCGGGGGGCGGCTCTACAGATCGGTTATGCGTAGCCCAATTCTACGGTGGGGCTACCCTTTTTTTTCGAATTTGGTGGGGTCTGCTGTGGCTGACCACTGCGGTGGGCGGCTCTACAGATCGATTTTGAGTAGCCCGATCGCAGGCTGAGGCTATCCCCTTTTTTCCAATTTGGTGGGGTCTGCTGTGGCTGACCACTGCGGTGGGCCGCTCTACAGATCGACTCCCAGGAGCCCAATTGCAGGGTGAGGCTATCGTCTTTTTTCGAATTTGTTGGGGTCTTCTGTTTTCGAATCTGGTGGGGCCTTCTGTGGCCGCTCCCCACTGCGGTGGGAGGCTTTACAGACCCTTTCTTCCTAGCCCAAGTGTGTGAGTGACCACAGAGTTATCGATCCTTTTTTTGTAGCCCAAGCGCAGGGCGGAGCTACCGCTTTGCAGCTCGACAGACCCTTTTTTCCTAGCGGCTCTAGTGCAGGCCCCCTTTTTCCTAGCGGCTCGACCGGCCCTTTTTTCCTAGCCCAAGTGGTTGCTCGACAGGCCCTTCAACTCTGCGGTGGCGAGCTCTACAGGCCAGCTCTGCATTACCCGATCAACGGACGAGGCTGTCGCCTTGTTTGCACGTATTTAGCTGTAGCTGATATTTATGATCATAACTTATTTAGAAACGTGCGTGTCTTCGAATTTAGTCTCCACGACGATGATCTCTCTTGTTCTAGGCGCCGTAGCGACGGACAGAGTGCAACGCGGAGCGCCAAATGCAGTGAAATGAAAGAGCGACTAGCTACTTGCGCCAGATCGCGTCCTCCTCGTCCAGAGCGCTAAGAAGAACATTAGTCGGATTCAGTTGAACAAGAGGATAGGAAAGCAGCACGATTTGCAGGAGAGGTCAAACAGCAGGAGGCTTGAACGTGGAGAGGAGTTAGATCGCCTACATCATTCACCAGAGTGAAAATCATTCATATCCATGCTTTTCCAAAACACTGAGCATTCCAATTATGTAAAAACAGGACTAGTGCGAATTCCACTCATCACAAGAACAAGAATACGAATATTGACGATCATAACATCACTTCATCTGAACCACCGTAGGCGTGGCGGAGTTGAGGGCATTGTCACTGTTTCTAGTGAGTCCTTTCGGTCTCCTCATTCCCATTCTACTTTTGGTGGATCCTTTTTACTTCAAATTCCTCGTTTATTTGAAGACAAAATCATGCTGGACGGCAACGAGACGACTGTAGCGGCACGACCACAAAGAAACGATCCCCAGGGCCAGGGAGGTGTCGACACATCACTGCTAGCGCAGGAGGAGGTGGGAGCATGTCGTGGTCGACAAACGACCTCCACTCCCAGAGCAAAACTAGATCTGCAAGAGCCAGGAGAGTTCTCTGCGGCAACTTGTACAGCAGAAAACCCCAAGCATTGCCCATCTTGGACGGAAGAAAACAAAGTTGCTCGTGCGTCAATATAGTTGACAACAGAATCATCCTGCTCATCAACTACGTCTTCAAACGTTAACGAGTGCAAGCAAGTTAATTCTAGTACAACTTCTAGCAGTATACAAGACAAGAATCATGGAAAGTACGCCGTCGACGAACTCTGAAGTACTATTGGACTTTGTCCTTCGAGTTGCTGCGATTTTTCATGGGGCGTGGCATTCTGCTCTCTCTCTCCTCCTTGGCACTGCTACTGATTATCGTCCAAGATTATGATTTTGTCAAACTGTTCTACTTCCAGAAAAATCACAAGCGCTTATTATGTTTATGATCATGTGTATCAAAGATTGACACACTGCTGCTGCTTCTGTATTACTACCACTCCCAATCATGTAGCATGTTGGTGTCAAGCGGGGAAGAACAAGCGCAACTGTGTCGTGTACGTGTTGTTTCCTTTTAATGTTGGTCGTAGACGTTTCCACTTCGAGAAAAATATATCATATGCGCTCACGACTCGCCGAGCAGAATTAGGCTAAAGTCATCAGAGACGTCGAGTGGTCCAATGATCACGATATCGTCACGCTCCAGCGCAGACGTTCTTCTATTCCAACAAGTGATGGATGAAGATCAAATTTCAACCGACACGCCGATAAAAAGGGTATACAACTAGACAGCTGCGGTGGCTGGTGGTCGAGGTAAAGTTGGAAGTAATTTTTACGATGACGATCATCATCAACGTCATCATGAATCAGGTCCTGAAGATGGAGATCTAGATCAACAGCTTCCTGCTGCTGAGGATGACTATTGCAACGCTGGACTTCTCGCTTCATCCAGTCGTGTCTGGGACAACAGTCCGACACGAGATTACTTATGGAAACTCCAACACGAGGTTGCCGGAGACTTACTACCAGAGCAGCGCGACTTCATTTGCGATGTAATTGAGGCTCAGAGGTTGAAGAGGAAGAAGGGAGAGGAACATAGTCCTAATAAATTTGGTCGTGAGAAAATCAAAAAAACGAGAACCAAATTTAGGTAGTTTCTCACTCGCCCATGTCGTGGACTATGCTGAGTGGCGCTCCACTTGATTGAAAGGGAAAATAAGGAGGGCGCAGGGCACCCCGCTCGACTCGGTGTAGTGAAAAACTACCGCTAAGCTGGGGCAATTGTCGGACGCTCGCAAGAGACTTCGCAAAGCTTGGAGCAAGATGAACGGGCAGAGTCACACCCCCGCATCAGAATGGTCTTGGTCAACATGGTCCTGTTCCTCATAGCGAGTCCGATGAAGAAGAATGTGAAAGTTCCCCAGCGGCGGAACGGAAACTCACACTGGACAACAACTACTTCGTACGGATATTACAACTCCGTATGACCTTGTAGATGAATCAGATCTAATACACTGACGAGATATCAGATTTGCAATGCCGATTAAACAGTCCTTGCATAGTGAACATCCAGTAGTGGCACTATCGTAGAGAAAGATGAAGTTGACGCTTTTAGAGCCAAAATCAGCAAAAGAAGATGAAAAGTATATAGCACCAGAAGAAGACTTAAAGACTTTTATATGTACTGGACTAAGATTTTTATATATCTTCTACTGCTCCAGACTAGATTCGCGTCGCCGCATCTACATTTTCTGCAAAGTAACTGACTGCTAAGTACACTGCGTGAGCAACATTATGGGAACATCTCTTACCATTTATTCTATTAGTTACTACTCAGTTACGCAATGAATTGCATTAATTCTAATTGTAATTAATTGCAACCACAGTCAGTGTCAGGCAGAGGCACTTCAACATACGAGGAGCAACTTACTCACTCTTTCACAATTTACGGCGGAGAATAATTTATTGCAACCAGCACCTACACTTCTTCATAGAGGCATGTTCTTTGTTGATGAGGAACGCTTCTTCATATAATTGAAGAGCATATGCATACGCTTCTTCATTCAAGGATGTTGCGCATGAAGATGAACGCTCTTGTGCATTGAGGGCCGTCTGTTTGAGGAACAAGAGCTCCACTTCCGGTTCAGCATCTTCATTGTGATCGTAACCCGATGGATGCGACCCGAATCTTCACGACCAGGCGTGAGAGCTCTACCCTCTACCCTGCGTGAGAGCTTTACTCAGCGTGAGAGTTTCAAAGCGACGTCAGAGCCTCACAGCATGAGAGCCTTACCCAGCGTGAGAGTGTCCCAGCATGTGAGTCCCCACTCGCCGTTGCCACCTGAAGCATGAGAAGCTGACTGAGATCAATCCAAGTTGTAGCAGAAATCTTTTAGTGGATGAAAAGATCTTGTTGAAGATGAAACCTTCAACCGCCCATGTGCATGTGGACAACAGAATGTTCTAGTACATGGCATGCTCTAGTACACGACCGAGTACGAGGAGAGAGACTCTGTCACAGATGAGGTATAGGAAAAAGTAACTCAAGTTCTTTTTCCTTCGTATACTATAATGAACATGTTCCATCAGATAATTCATATCTATCATTGATGAATCTTCAAACCCAGCCATCAGAGAAAAAAGAGCGAATCGCTTCGATTCTCAAAACTGACAAGAACAACGCGTCTACTAACAACTCGTCTACTAAGCCTAAATATAGGTCTAAGCCTGACAAAGAAGCACTTCTAAGCAACTTCTGAATCACACTTATAAGACCTACAACTCGTAAAAAACCTAAAAGTGCTTGCACTTCTAAAAAGTAATACTTCCGAGAACTAGAACTATAACGATTCCGATTCGCATAGTTGGTCTATTAGAAAGTAATACTTACACGAACTACAGCCCTTCATCTTCTAGGTACTAAGGAACATTTACGTGAAGATGGTGCCTCTGCCTCTTTCTGTTTGCGCCCTCACATTCGTGCTGTCCCTTCGTCGCGCTGCAGCCATGGATGGAGATGCCGATGGAAGCAAAGGGTTCATGTCGCCATTGGTTCCTCCACGGCCCTCGTCTGCCGCGTCCGTGCTTTGTACGTTTTCTCTCCCTAGCGGCAGCGGAGGCGTCAGCGTCAGAATTGACCCGGACAGAGAGGCCCATAAGGGAGGTCTACTCTTCAGTGAAACGGTCAGGGATTTGGGCGAAAAAGTCCTCCAAAAATTGAGGGAACAACAAGATGAAGATGCCACTGTTGCTACCCAGATAAAAGACCTTGCCCAACTGCATTTTATCATCGGAAACAGCGCTCTGTTTCCCGCTGGTGAGATAGATGGAAAAAAGAAGCTAGACGAACTGGACGCCCTTTCCTCTGTCTCACAACGCACTCACGGCATGGGTAGCAGAGGTGAAAGAAGTGTCGGGTTCACAATCGTGGTCGTACGGTCCCCGGAGGCTGCAACCACGTGGAGAACGTGGATGGAACACGTGGAGAGATCTGATGGCGACGGACTTGCGCAGTTGCCTGCAGATGCAAGAAATGACAAAGAAGTTGTCCTGAAAGCTGTGGAGAAATCCCTCTACATGTCATTTAGCCACGCATCTGAGACATTGAAAGCCGACGCAAAGTTTGTAATGGCCGCGATGCAGCGATGTAAGTCTTGGAAACCAGTTTGGTGGGCATCTGACACAGTGAAAGCGGATAGAGAGACCGCCCTGAAAGTCATGGAGTTCGAGGACGCAGATGCACTTCGTTTTGTATCTAAAGCACTGCGAGCGAATACAGATATTGCCCTGAAAGCCATCGAGTTCGACGCAGCTGCACTTGAGTATGCATCTGAAGCACTGCGAGCGGATAGGAAGCTTGTCCTGAATGCTGTGGCGCGAAGGGGCCATGTTCTTGAAGCGGCATCTGAAGAACTGCGCGCTGACAGAGAGGTTGTCCTGAAAGCTGTGGAGAATTGGGGCCGTGCACTTGAGTATGCATCTTCAGAATTAAAAGCGGATAAGGAGGTTGTAATGCACGCAGTGCAGAGAGACGGCGTCGCACTAAAATTCGCATCTGATGCATTAAAAGCGGATGAAGAGGCTGTAAGGAGTGCTGTGGAGAATTGTGGCGGGGCATTTGAGTACGTATCTACTGAATGGAAGGAAAATAAAGAGCTCGCTCTGAAAGCCGTGGAGAAGGACGGCGCGGCATTTCTGTGGGCATCTGACGAGTTGAAAGATGACAGAGAGACCGTCCTGAAAGCTGTGGAGAATTGGGGCGATGCACTTAAGTATGCATCTAAAACATTGAAAGACGATACGGATATCGTCCTGAAGGCTGTGGAGAACGGCGCTTCATTTCGCCACGCATCTGAAACATTGAAAGCCGACGCAAAGTTTGTAATGACCGCGATGCAGCGATGTAAGTCTTGGACACCAGTTTGGTGGGCATCTGACACAGTGAAAGCGGATAGAGAGACCGCCCTGAAAGCCATCGAGTTCGAGGCAGCTGCACTTGGTTATGTATCAAAAGCACTGCGAGCGGATAGGGAGCTTGTCCTGAATGCTGTGGCGCGAAGGGGCCATGTTCTTGAAGCGGCAGCTGAAGCACTGCGCGCTGACAGAGAGGTTGTCCTGAAAGCTGTGGAGAATTGTGGCCGTGCACTTGAGTATGCATCTCCAGAATTAAAAGCGGATAAGGAGGTTGTAATGCACGCAGTGCAGAGAGCCGGGGGGAGCTCGGCACTTCAGTACGCATCTCATGAATTGAAGGCAAATAAAGACTTCATCCTGAAAGCTGTGGAGAAGGGCGGCAGGGTACTTCAGTGGACATCTAAATCATTGAAAGCGGATAAAGACGTTGTAACGAAAGCTGTGGAGCAGGATGGCCTTGCACTTCGATACGCATCTGAAGCGTTGCAAGATGATAGAGCAATCGTCCTCAAAGCTGTGGAGCAGAGGGGCGACGCACTTCGGTACGCATCTGAAGCGTTGCAAGATGATAGAGCAATCGTCCTCAAAGCTGTGGAGCAGAGGGGCGACGCACTTCGGTACGCATCT